TTTTTTGCAAGGGATCCTGTAACTGCATTAACAACATTTACTTGTGGCGAACACGCAAACAGAAACAGGCTCACTAGTAGTAGTAGTAGAAGATGATGATGACGACGATGATGGATTGTCGTTGAAACTGATTGGTCCACACCGCAGACAACGCCGAAAGGCGAAGACAGCACCAGGACAATGCCACTCGCAGAAGCATTGAGGGCTCGGGGTGAGCAGCTACATAATGGGAGCTCCCTTGCCAGAATCAAAATATCAGAGTAGGTGTCACCATATTCTTGGTTCTTTCGGTAAAGTCACCACGTAGAAGGGAAACAATACAATAAATAAAAATATGTAAAACAATGAAATTCTCACGACGTTTCACCATATTCTGGGTTCTTTTGGTAAAGTCACCACGTAGAAGGGAAACAATAAAATAAATAAAAATATAAAAAACAATAAAATTCTCACGACGTTTCGACTGCAACACAAGAAGCAATCATCATCAGGTGTGAAACCCACAGCAAATATTCTTGCTGTGAAAACCACAGCCAATTTTCTTGCTGTGGGTTTCACACCTGATGATGATTGCTTGTGTTGCAGTCGAAACGTCGTGAGAATTGTATTGTTTTTTTAAATATTTTGTATTATTTTATTGTTTCCCTTCTACGTGGTGGTGACTTTACCGAAAGAACCAAGAATGTGAATCACTGCAGTCACGAAAGCTTTAAATCAACATTTAAAATAGGTTTTGATTGAAAGCTTTCGTGACTGCAGTAATTCATATTCTTAGTTCTTTCGGTAAAGTCACGTTGAAGGGAAACAATAAAATAATAAAATATATATAAAACAAATAAAAATTCTCACGACCGTTTGTGTTATGGTCGAAACGTCGTGAGAATTTTTATTGTTTTATATATTTTTTTATTATTTTATTGTTTCCCTTCAACGTGACTTTACCGAAAGAACTAAGGATATTTAAATAGGTGTTAACCTTTCCGGAAATAGAATAACAATTTAAAGCTTTCGTGACTGCAAGGATTCATCTTCTTTGGTTCTTTCGGTAAAGTCACGTAGAATGATAATAAAATAATAAATTGATAAAATAAAATAACACAATAATATTCTCACGACGTTTCGGCCACAACACAAGCGGCCTTCATCAGGTGAAGGGACGAGACTGTCTGGTAGGACAGCGCTGGAGTGAAAGAGCCACGTTCAGATCACGGCCTTTAAGCTGTGTGAGAGGAAACAAAGCACCTTGACAAAGGAATTAGCATATAATTTAGCATTGAAATGGCTGAATGATTAGCTTGTGACTGGTCACAGAAATAGTTATGTTAAAAGTTAAAGCATACACATCCGCAGAGGCACCCCTTGATAATGGAATTAGCATAGAATTTAGCATTGAAATAGCTAAGTTAAAGCATACACATCCGCAAAGGCACCCCTTGACAATGGAATTAGCATAGAATTTAGCATTGAAATAGCTGAGTGATTAGCTTGTAACTGCTCACAGAAATAGCTACGTTAAAGTCAGAGCATACACATTCACCGAGGCACTTAGTACAAATCAAACAGGAGAATTTAGCATTGAAATAACTAGGCGAATTTAGCATTGAAATAACTGAGTGATTAGCTAGTGACTGGTCACAGAAATGACTATGTTGAAGTCAAGGCCTACACATCTGAGCTATTCACAGTACTATATAGTGAACCAATAAAAAACTAAAATATAAATTACCTTAATGTTATCAATAAACTCTATATTCTCCAATCAGCTAAGCTACCAACAATAAGTCGTTATATATCACAATGCTATATGGCGAAAAAATGGGTGGATTCTTACCCTCAACTTTAGCACCACGGATAGCTACGGGCCCCGTTCAGACGGACGAGTTCGTCCATGGTCGGAACAGAGGAGGGGGAGAGAGACAGCTGCGAGGCGCTATTATACTCCATGTTGTAAACCATACCATTAACCGTGGTGTGAGAGGTATTAAGAGTCAATGCTGGCGAAAGAGCTGCGGTCTGAAGGTCATCGTAAAAATACAATTAATTAAGAACAGAAATGATTTAAAACATCTTTCCAGTGGTTACTAAGCCAGAATCCATCTTCTCGGTTGAAATTGTCTCTGTGCTTGTATATGTGAATGGCCTCATGAACGAATCTCTCATGGTAGCCGGTTGGTTTGCAAAGAACCTCCGTCTTGGAGAAGTCAATGTCATGTGAGCCCACTGAATTATAACAGTGATCTGCCACGGCAGAGGAGTTCGTCCTACCGTGTTTCAAGTCTGCTTTATGTTCACGGATGCGGTCCGAAACGTCGTGAGAATATTATTGTGTTATTTTATTATTTTATTCTCATTCTACGTGACTTTACCGAAAGAACCAAAGAAGATGAATCATTGCAGTCACGAAAGCTTTAAATCGAAATGTTTAATTTTAATTTATTATTTGTATTCTTTTTAGTTTTTTGTTTTCCATCTACGCGACTTTACCGAAAGAACCAACAAAATGAATTCCCGCAGCCACGAAAGTTTTCAGTCGAAATTATACCACTATAATAATGCAGTTTCAACGACAATGCATCATCATATATTATCAGAGTGCTGTTTTTTTTGTTTGCATTCTGACCACGAGCATTGCGGTGAACGCAGTCACATAAATCCTCGTTAAAAAAAGGTTTCAGTTTTGTTGCTGGAAAAAAGGGGAAAAACCCCTATTATTATATTTTTGTACTGGCAAAGGAGGTCCAATGACGTAGATCCTTTACCCCGAGCCCTCATTACTTTGATAGTGGCATTGTCTTTGAGCTGGGTGACGCCTTTTGACGTCATCTGGTCTAGCACCAATTGAGACGAGGCTCTAAAGAAAGCCGTCTCTGGTGTGGACCAATCAGTTTCAAGGATAATGCATCATCATATATTATCAGGGTGCTGTTTTTTTTGTTTGCATTTTGACTGCAAGTATTGTGGTGAATGCAGTTACATGAATCCCCTATATTATTATTATTCATGGTTTTTTGGTAAAGTCGCCACGTAGAAGGGAAACAATAAAATAATAAAAATATAAAACAATAAAATTCTCACGACGTTTCGACCGCAACACAAGCAATCATCATCAGGTGTGAAACGCACAACATAATTATTTTGATTTAAAGCTTTCGTGACTGCAGGGATTCATATTCTTGGTTCTTTCGGTAAAGTCACGTAGAAGGGAAACAATACAAATATAAAACAATAAAATTCTCACGACGTTTCGACTGCAACACAAGCAATCATCATCAGGTGTGAAACGCACAGCATAATTGTTGTTTATTTTAGCTGAGCTATATAGGTTTGGTTTATCAGAAGCGATTTGGCCAAACATATGATGAGTCCATCCACGTGGATTATTTTTCATTATTATTTACCACGCTTTTCATTTAACTCACTCTGTTTGTATCCTCAACTCTCTCTCTCTCTCTGTTGTTGTAGTATCCTCAAATCTTGTAACTCAATTTTAACACACTTCCCAATGTGGTATCGACTGCAAACTCGGTATACTTATGTCACACTGATGACAATACTATATTGTATCATAAAAAAATGATATATATAAAAAATTCAAGCAATCTTTTGTACAGGTAAAACCTTGGATCGCGAGCATAATTCGTTCTGGAAACGTCTTTGTAATCCAAAGCACTCGTATATCAAAGCACTCGTATACATCAGTTGTGATCACGTGACGTTTGGCAGTACAAAGCGTGTACACGTACTACTACTACTCGTACTGCAAGACCCTCGCTCGTTTATCAAATTAAATTTTATTTAAAAATTTAGCTCGTCTTGCAAAACACTCGCATACCAACTTATTTGATTCTTTCGGTAAGGTCACGTAGAATGAGAATAAAATAATAAAATAACACAATAAAATTCTCACGACGTTTCGGTCACAACGCAAGCGGCCGTCTTCAGGTGAAAGGTACAGACCTTCCACTTCAGCGCTGGTCTATACCTTTCTGTACCTTTCACCTGAAGACGGCCGCTTGCGTTGTGGCCGAAACGTCGTGAGAATTTTATCGTGTTATTTTATTATTTTATTCTCATTCTACGTGGTGACCTTAACGAAAGAACCAAAGAAGATGAATCCTTGCAGTCACGAAAGCTTTAAATCGAAATTTACTCGCAGACCAAGTTACTCGCAATCCAAGGTTTTTTCCTTTGTAAATGTTTCGGCCTGGGTCTTCATTGTCCACGCTCAACTCACGTTGGCTGCAATTGGCAACGGGGCCCCCTTACGTTATGGCCAAGCTTCGGGGCCACTGCCTGGAGTCGTGGAGTTCTGCCGTTACCAGTACGGTACATTTCATTATAACGTTGTTGTTTTTTTTTAAAGTTGTTTTTAAATATAACTTTTTTTTATTATCACGTGAAAATTCAAGGTTGCTTACAATTTAACACTCACGTGGTGCCTTGCACCGTTGCCACCTTTGTGCCACTATTCTCTGCTCTGTTTAACACGTTAGGCTTTCGCGACCAATATTATTCATAATAAAGGTTTTTTTGGGTTAGATCGCGTTTATTTATAAATGTGTCGTAACCCTCCACCACCCGACACGGCCAATCAGCAAAAAAAAAGTGTCACGTTGACAAAAGACAAATAATTCACTACTTCAGCCCACCGGTGTGTTGAAGAGTTAATCCACATTTACAGTTTGAGTACTAAACTGTAAATGTGGATACTCAAACTGTAAATGTGGATTAACTCTTCAACACACTGGTGGGCTGAAGTAGTGAATTATTTGTCTTTTGTCAACGTGACACTTTTTTTTGCTGATTGGCCGTGTCGGGTGGTGGAGGGTTACGACACATTTATAAATAAACGCGATCTAACCCAAAAACCTTTATTATTCTCTGCTCTACTGACACCGCTAGTGGAGTCTAGGCGACACAACAACAACAACAACAGGAGACGAGTGCTGTTGTATTTACTGCGGGGCTCCCCCTGGTGCCAATTGTCTCTGCCCCTCCAG